TGAATTCACATGGTAGGATTTGTAAAGAATTTATTCGTAAATTAGGGTGGAAAATAAGTATTTGGTCACCTCAAACAAGGAAAATCTCTGGCTCTCACAGACCTGTAACGTCTTCTGTAAGAAGCTTTTCTGTCCCCCACTCGTTACCTGTATGAATGGCACCTGTTTGAACTCATCATCTGTATAAAAGACACCTGTCCACAGCCTCAAACAGTCAGACTCCAAACTCCGCCATGGCCAAGACCAAAGAGCTTTCGAAGGACACCAGGAAAAGTATTGTAGACCTGCACCAGACTGGGAAGAGTGAATCTACAATAGGCAAGCAGCTTGGTGTGAAAAAATCAACTGTGGGAGCAATCATCAGAAAATGGAAGACATACAAGACCACTGATAATCTCCCTCGATCTGGGGCTCCACGCAAGATCTCATCCCGTGGGGTCAAAATGATCATGAGAACGGTGAGCAAAGATCCCAGAACCACACGGGGGGACCTGGTGAATGACCTGCAGAGAGCTGGGACCAAAGTAACAAAGGTCACCATCAGTAACACACTACAACGGCAGGGAATCAAATCCCGCAGTGCCAGACGTGTTCCGCTGCTGAAGCCAGTGCATGTCCAGGCCCGTCTGAAGTTTGCCAGAGAGCACATGGATGATACAGCAGAGGATTGGGAGAATGTCATGTGGTCAGATGAAACCAAAGTAGAACTTTTTGGTATAAACTCAACTCGTCGTGTTTGGAGGAAGAAGAATACTGAGTTGCATCCCAAGAACACCATACCTACTGTGAAGCATGGGGGTGGAAACATCATGCTATGGGGCTGTTTTTCTGCCAAGGGGACAGGACGACTGATCCGTGTTAAGGACAGAATGAATGGGGCCATGTATCGTGAGATTTTGAGCCAAAACCTCCTTCCATCAGTGAGAACTTTGAAGATGAAACGAGGCTGGGTCTTCCAACATGACAATGATCCAAAACACACCGCCCGGGCAACAAAGGAGTGGCTCCGTAAGAAGCATTTGAAAGTCCTGGAGTGGCCTAGCCAGTCTCCAGACCTCAACCCCATAGAAAATCTGTGGCGGGAGTTGAAAGTCCGTGTTGCTCGGCGACAGCCCCAAAACATCACTGCTCTCGAGAAGATCTGCATGGAGGAATGGGCCAAAATACCAGCTACTGTGTGTGCAAACCTGGTAAAGACCTATAGTAAACGTTTGACCTCTGTTATTGCCAACAAAGGTTATGTTACAAAGTATTGAGTTGTATTTTTGTTATTGACCAAATACTTATTTTCCACCCTGATTTACGAATAAATTCTTTACAAATCCTACCATGTGGATTCATGGATTTTTTTCACATTCTGTCTCTCACAGTTGAAGTGTACCTCTGGTGCAAATTACTGACCTCTGTCATCATTTTAGGTGGGGGAACTTGCACAATCGGTGGCTGACTAAATACTTTTTTGCCCCACTGTAACTTATATAAGGAGCTGTTGGTTTATTGAAAGTAGTATAAAGGATTATTTTGATAGTCAACTAGTCAGATTATTTTTGCGATTAGTCGACAATAGATCATGCATCCATTGGAGTAAAACGTACAGCTTATTGCACCAGCAGCATCTGCTCTTATATAACTATCATTAGCTTACAGCTTTAAGTGTTTAAGGTATGTGCTAACTAACAATAAAGACAAGATGATAGTTTATTAAATTTTAATGAAATTTGCAGATTGTTTCGGTGAAGTTTAATAAACTCAGCCGTCTGTCCTTGCTATCTAAAATATAACAGCAGACTGGAGTAAATTCTCTACCAAATTCTGTTTAATCATTTGTCTGCTTGACGTTTATTCAGCTGTGTAAAAACTATAACTTTAATCACAGCCAAACCGATTTACTCAGGAACAAATAAAACACTGAAAAACGCCAAATAATAAAATTTTTAAGTCTGTAAATGAATGTGCAGATTGCTGTTCTCGGCCTAGTGACCCCGGCAGCTATAGAGCTGATGGGTAACAGACGTTTCCGAAAACGTTCGGAGCACTTTTGCAATATATGTGATGTCTTGATAAGATCGAGCAGATATTTGAGTTTACACAGCTACATTCTGCCTGAAAATATCTTAAAAGTTTATTTTGTGACCCAGAAAGAGTAATGATATTATTAAAACTAATAGCTCCACCATTGTTGCCAGCTGGAATTAGCTGGGCCGTGCTATGAATTCTGGGATAGGTTGGGCCACGAAGAATACACCCAACCAATCTTTCCATTCTGGGGATAAGGAGGACACATTTGTCGGCCACATTTGGAGGAGTCTTTGAATTTGGACATCCTTCGCCACACCACTGTGACGTAATCGGCCTACAAATACGGCCTCCGAAGGATGCGGCCCCTATTGTAGCACAGCTACAATACCGGACACGCATTCCTGCCATCTTCTGTTTCAGTCTGTTATAAAACTCTTAAATCCTTCTACTTATTCCTGCGTCTTTCAGGATCTTGCAAAGCTTCAAACGACGCATCAACTATTAAAGTAGTTGTCAACGATTTTGATAGTCGACAAACCTAACTGAAAGTGGCAAAAGTGTGGCAGTTCAAACACTGGAACTGCGTGTTTGCAACCAGAGAATTAGCACCCATCAGCTACAAGGGAAAAAAGCCCAATATTCACAATTTGGAAAAAAGCTGCTGTGTTCAGTATCTTTACCCCTAAAAATATCTCAAATGTACACAGAAGCAAACACACCCTGACAGAATTCCAGCAGCAGCATGTCCATAAATAAGCTGCTTTAGGTCATCCTAGGTCTTGGAGAGATTCCAGGACCTTGAATGACCTGCAGGATCTGCTCTTCTGATCTGCAGTGATGCACAGTGCTTTGCTTTCCAACTATCAATCATGCCGATACTGTCTGTCCCTCCCTTGTAGTGTTGTTCAGATATTATTCTGTCCATCGTCTGAGTGTATCACTGCACACTAGTTACATCATTTCAACTATGAAACAGAGAATTAGAGATTTATGAGAAACTATTATTGCATTTTATTTTATAGCAGATGGTTTTGTGAATAAGCATCTAATATAATCAATGTTAAGGTTCAGGTTGGGAAGGTTACTTTTAAAATGTATTCCATTACAGAATACAGAATACATGCCCCAAAATGTATTCTGTAACGTATTCCGTTACGTTACTCAATGACAGTAACAGTATTCTGAATACTTTGGATTACTTAATATATTATCATGCTTTTTACAACAACGTGAATGTACTATTGCTGTGTGATTTATTACTATTACTGAAGGTCCGCGACTCCGAACTGTAGTAAAGGGACCTCTGGACTAATACTCGGGGTCCCTGTCGGGCTCGTAGCGAAAATAGCTTTACTTTGTTGTCTGGGTCAACTTTGCTAGCGAGAGACAGAGAGAGGCGTTGAAAGGCTGCTCCAACGAACTTATTGTTTTCGGAGGAAAACACGAACACGGTGTACAGTCGAGTCTTAATAGCTTACTTACAACTGGGCTCGTCAGGCACTCTTCTTGGCTGAGTGGTTATTATTATATTTACATGCTTCCAGCTCCCGTTTTTCCTCGATGACAACTCGTACCTTTCCACTCCCCTTTTTCTCCCTCCTCGCGCTCACAGACCCATAACGTGTATGGCAGTCCATTCTCCCTGCAACACGGACTACACTGCCCATGATGCTACATTCTTTAGAGCTATGCTTGTAGCATTCTGCCTGTTAGCTTAGCACAACAACAACAACAACGAAAAGGCGCTCTCTCACCCAGGAAACACACAGTCGCAGAGAGAGAGAGAGCGTCGCCCTGTAACCATGGCAACCGTAACGCTGCCGCCTGGAACAACAGAACTAGCTGTCAAACAAAACCCAAACAGTCCTGACCCGCGACAATAATGAAACAGGAAAGTACCGCAGTGTAATCCATTTATTTCAACAAAGTAACTGTATTCTGAATACCACCTTTTTAAACGGTAACTGTAACGGAATACAGTTACTCATATTTTGTATTTTAAATACGTAACGGCGGTACATGTATTCCGTTACTCCCCAACACTGTTAAGGTTGCATCTGGGTGTCTTTTACTTCACACTTTGAAGAAATCCACCTCAAGTGGGGCTTTGTGGCCCAGCTTCAGAGACAGTGACTGTCTAGGAATTAGGGCTGTGTGGTGATAGGATTAAAAGCAGATTAGACAAGATTATTCCCATTCAGGTTGTTTAGGGAGTGTGGGAATTTAGTTAATGTGTTTTTCCCTTTTCCATCAGTGTGCAAATAAAGCCGGTGTGATCAGCTTTATGTCTGTGGTTAAAGTCCGTCAAACTGTAGGTACCATGGTAGACTTTTAGCATTAGAGCAGAACTAAAACTACAGGGCCAGTCCCATGGTGGGGTTTTTTCCACTACAAATGATTGAAAAATGGGAAGCAAATAACTTCCTTACAAATATCTTTAAATGGCAATGAGCAAGCTCCACCTGCACCAGTGTAAGGACTGACCATGAACGCACTGGAAACTGCAAAGTTGCCTAATTGCCATCGTTCTGGGACACAAAAGAATGTTGTCAGAAAGCTCTGTACAGAGTGGAAGAACAGAAGTCTGCTATTCTTTCCAGCTATCTCCTGTTTAATGACTGAAAACAATTGAAAATGTGATTTCTGTCAGGAGGGCACTCTGCCCTTCTATGTAATTATATAGAGAGACTAAAGGAGAAGCAGCAGCAAGACCCACCACAGAAAATAACAGGCAGTCAACTCCATTATTTACAGTGCATGCAGAAAGTAAGTATTCCTGTTACTTGTTCCACATTTTGCCATGTTATGTACACCCTGTTTTCCCTGATCATCTGTTAGATATTTCTACAACTTGATTGGAGTCCACCTGTGGTAAAGTCAGTTGATTAAACATGATCTGAAAAGATCACAAACGAAGCCATGAAGTCCAAGGAATTATCTGAGACAAGATCGTATTGAGGCACAGATTTAGGGAAGGGTACAGAAAAATTTCAGAAGCATTGAAAGTCCCAATGAGCAAAGTGGCCTCGTCATCCATAAATAGAAAAAGATTGGAACCACCAGGACTCTCCCTAGAGCTGGCCATCCGGCCAATCTGAGCGATCAGGGTAGAAGGGCCTTAGAGATAACCAAGAACCCAATGGTCGTTCAGCGTGACCACAGAGCTCCAGGATTGCTCTGTGGAGAGAGGAGGACCTTTCAGAAGGCCAACCATTTCTGCAGCACTCCATCAATAAGGCCTGTTTGGTAGAGTGGCCAGATGGAAGCCACTCCTCAGTGAAAGGCACATGACAGCCTGCCTGGAGGTTGACAAAAGACACCTCCAAGACAACGAGAAAATGCTCTCGTCTAATGAAACAAAGATTGAACTGTTTGGCCTGAACGCCAAGCATTGTGTTTGGGGAAACCCGGCGCCGCTCATCACCAATGGCATCCCCACAGTGAAGCATGGTGGTGGAAGCATCATGCTGTTGGGATGTTTTTGGCAGCAGGCAGAAAAAGATAAATGCAGCAATGTACAGAGACATCCTCGATGATAACCTGCTTCAGAGTCTCTGAACCTCAGACTTTCAACAGGACAATGACCCTGAGCACATAGCTTAGATAACAAAGGGGGGCTTTGGGACTACTATGTGAATGTCCTTGAGTGGCCCAATCAGAGTACAGACTTGAAGCTGACTGAAGATCTGTGGAGGGATCTGAAAATAGCTGTGCAGTGATGCTCCCCATTTAATCTGATGGAGTTAGAGACACTCTGCAAAAGAAAATGGTAGAAAATGCCCCAAAATGTGCTTAAATATTGTACTGAACAAAGGCTGTGAATACTTATGTACATATTTTAGCTTTTTGTTTTTAATAATTTGCAAAATTAATCTGTAAAAAAGATAAAATGTGGATCATTTGAAGCACTGAATAATTTACACTAAAACTGTACAAGCAATACAAAAGAGCCAGGTGGAGTGGGGTTGCAAAGTGGCATGCAGAAGCATACAGCATACAGCAACTATAATCCTGAGGTTGACTTCGTAGACGGTCAGAACCACCACACCTGAGATTTAACATCAAGTAATGTTATTAATGTTTTTTTAAACCTACCAAACCATAAAATTAAAAAAGAGAAGACAAATCAATCCTGCTATTATTGGCTGATTTGTACTCAGTGAGTGGAGCAATTTCATTGTGTGATGTAGCAACAGTGACTTAGTTTCCAACATAGTGTCGCATTAATGTGAAAAAAATCATTGTTGTTTTGTTTTGAAACATGTTTCAGGGGAAAAGAAATTGTGTTCTTTCATAAGACCACAAAAGATAAAAAAATCCTCACTTGTTGGTTCATATATGAATATATTTTCAGTGTAAAGATTGTGGTGGGAATGCAACCTGAAATCTAACAAAACCAGTGTCGAATGACAAACATCACATCTTTTCTCTTAAACAGATTTTAGACGATGGTAACAATATTCGTTTTTCACCTGAGCTCATGAGCAGCACCGCCTGCATCAGCGCCACCTCCGAGTCATCCAGATTAAATTGTGCTAGACTCTTGCCCAGATCAAAGATGGCGTCCGACACCACGCCCAGCCCGCCGTTCTTCAGCTGCTCGCGTTTCACAGCCATCTCGCCGTTTAGAGTAAGAGTCTCGCTGTCGGGATCGTAGCGAACAGCAGCACGCAGTGACATGATCTCCATGCAGCAGCCTTTCAGCAGGATGATCTGGTCCTCACAAGGCAGCTGGGAAACAAGATTTGAGCTTGTCAGGAAATGAGACAATGCTGAACTTCAATTAGAAAAGTCTGTCAGTTGTGTTTGTTTTCTAAACTATTGAGACATTGATGATATAATAGTAACTAAAAGCTAGCTAGCAAATATTAAGCAATTTGTTACAAAAATAAAGTTACACCAACTGCAATGATCTTTTCAGTTTTTATTTACATTGACACAGTGTCCCGACTCTTTCACAATAACAAACAGAAACACACAGTGAAATGGATTAGGACTGCTTTTCCTCCACCCCATTATAAGAGGGGAAGGGTTGTAATATTCTAGTCACAACAAGTCCTTTGCCAGGCTTTATGTAACCAGGAAGCCCCTACAATATACATGATGAGTGCACTCAGTTAGGTGGGAAGACATGCGATGGCACTTGCTCACAGATCGTTTGCACAGAGAGCAAAGCAATATCAGTAAGTGGTGAGTCACCACTTAATACAGAGAGAGAGGGAGACAGCGGTGGGGGTGTGGGGTGGATTAGTCAGTGTAATCCCAGCTGGCACGCAGCAGGACAAAAGCTTCAGATGGAGGAAGTTCCCAATCAAAAGACCCAGCTTAGGTTAACGAGCTTGTTAGTGTTTTAACGGAGAGCTACGCTCACAGTCTGCCTTTAAACGTTACAGTGAAACCAGAGTATGCGCACGTGTAGTTTAGATAACAATGTTAAATCATTTATAGCCGTCTAAATTCAAAGTGGAAATCAGAATTTAAAGAAGTGACAATAAAGAAACTCACAGTGTTAATTTCAGTAAAAGTGGAAGCTCGAGAGAGCGACACATTTTTAAAGCCGCTGGATTGAATTGTTCTTGTCTTTGAAGTAGACGGGCTATATTTAGGTACTGTGTGAGCTGACATTTTGGGAAAAGATATAAAAGACTGAAATGGGGGTTTGGAAACCTTTCCTGGGGCACAGAGTAAGAAATCAGACTGCTGCTGATGTTTCTCTTAAAACTTGTCTCTTACTGAATGCAGCATAAACTTAAACAATACTATCGCAGATTTTTAGAAGCCTCTTCAGTTAAATGTTGCACATTATTCACTGAGGTTCTTTAATCTGTACTGTTAACTGATCTTGTTACGCGACTTTCATGTTAAGAGTAATTTCTGTTGATGACAGCTGGGGTCACCCATAAGTTCATGATATCCAAGCCAGAAGGCAACACACTGGGCCAGCTGAAGGAAAGTTAAGTTGAAGAGTTGCCATTGTGACACATTGGAGGAGATCCAGCATATAATGCAAAGGCACAACTGCAAGGGACAGAACGGGACTTCCAGGCAGTGATCTAGAAATAGCAGCAGAAGTGGAAGCAGTCCAGAGCTGCACGAGAACATGACCTTCACGGTAAAATGATTTTGATGGCAGGCAACAGTTTGATGGCACAGGTTGCCTGGTGGGAAGCGACCTGTCGGCAAACAAACGCAAACACGTTGCAGTCAATCGGAGGCAGGCTGTGCTGATGACTGCAACTCGTCTGCATCTCTTTTCAATAAGAGATTTGACTCAGCTGGTTGTATTCTACTTATATTCCTACATAAAAGCAATACTGATAAGAGTCTATGTGATTTACTGTTAAATTGCAGTCTTGCAGCAAATATGTCACAATTTAAAGAGAAATATCTGATTTTTTTCTTTGATGAGGTTCTGTCTGGACTGGAATGTACGCCACTAATGTGAAATTTTGTGTAATTGAAACTTTTGTGTATATAAACAGCAACAGTTTTGCGATTATCCCAACTCTGTCATCACGAACAGATTGCATGCTAACTTAATCCTGTTCAGCTGCAAACTGATAGCAGACGAAATCCATCTTACAGCTAATGTTTCATATTAAAGATATCCACATAAAAAGCAGATTTGTTTTATTGTACTATAAATCTAGTCCTGTGTAAGCGGGATGTGAGGAAAAGTCAGAGTCTGTCTGGAGCACACACACAGCATCCAAGGCAGAGGATCCTGACTTGTGAAGTTATCACTGAATAAAAGGCGAGAGTGATCGGAAAGTTGGAAAACTGACGTGATGTGCGAGCAGAATCAAAGACTGAAGATAAATACAAAACAAAGAGTGATGTAAAGCCCCACGCATACCACATACCTCTGAAAACATGGGCAGTTTCTTGGCAAAGTCGACGACGCGAGTGATGGCAGGGGTCATTATCTTGGTGAACTCGCTGAAGACTTCCAGATCCACCTTATCTCCGTCTGAAGTGGGCACCATAGGACCCTGGCCAATATCATCGGGCTAGAAAGGAGACATTGTTCAACTATTAAATACCACAAGAAATATCTGCTGAATGAGACGCTTAACGCCCGGCCTGTGGGTTGATTTTCTTTGCAGAGGAGGCGTATCAAAGAAGCTCAAGGAAAAATGGAGTCGGTTCAGGAGATTACAGCTTTAGAAGAACACGATGTAATATAAATGTAAATGCAGCATATACAATGTTACGTTATGATGTTACAAAACGGAAACAAATATTTAAAACTGCATGTTTATTTCTGGTCTTTGATGCCAACTGTTCAGCGGTGTGTGCAAGATGCAAATCACATCACAGTCGTTGCATTGTTTTAGTTTAAGCACATGAATGTTCGCTCTTTTGTAATATGAGCACAATGCCTAAGAAATTATTTCCAGTTGCTGGCGAACGCTACATAAATAAAAGTGAGCTGAATCGAACTGTAACCTGAAGACTGTTAAAAACTTTAAAGCCGTCTTTACCTTCATGGAACTGTTGCCTGGTAACAAACATCTGACCTTTGCGTCAAGGTAACCATGGGAGGTTTAAAGCACGTGCGCCTGCACGTTACACTGATCACATGGGACGCCACAGAGCAAGCTGGCCATGATGAAAAGGAGAGCTCTCAAAACGGCTTCTTTTGAAATGAAAAGAAGTCGCCTTCTTTTATGTTGATGTTTGATATCTGAAGTGGAACTGACTTTCAAGGCGCTGTTGAATTCTGGAGTAACGAGCTACATGAAAGAAGGAAGGAGCTGTTGCGAGGACCAAACAGCAGCCCGATTCAAATGCCCAGATCTGTGTTATGTAATTTTTTTTGCAGTTTCTGCTGCGTTTTCATAATCTAAGATGATGCTTTATACTTTTTCCATCTCTGTTGCTGTATAATTTACATTTTTGCTTTCTATAATCTTCATATTTGTTATCTCTAAAGCACCTTGGGTGTGCAGGCAGTCATTATTGGACCGTTTGGAAGTTTTTTTCCTGCACGGGATCCTTCTCGGTCACATTGAATAGATCTGTGTGTAACAAATACATTTTTGCATGACGCAAAAGAGCGATTGTTGGCAATTAAGGTGCAAACGGCACCTCGGTTTCCTCCACGGGCTGTGCGCCACAGCCACGGCTGACACAGACGAACAGCGTGATGTAAAACTCTGCAAAGCTTTACATCACTTTTTACAGCAGTGTCATGTTCAGTTCTCTGAACTGAACATGACACTGCTATTGACTTTCATGTGAAAAGATTTCTATTCTAGTTTATGCAACAGTGCTCAGCCTAAAGGCGATGTCCACTCAACTAAAAGCCTACCAGGAATTTGCGCTTCTGTTTCCAGCTGGAGCCCTGGGCGTTGGTGTGCCGGTGGGCTTCGGTCACCATCCTGATCAGCTCCCACTCTGCTGTGTCTGGCTCTGGCCTCGTCTGTAGCATCCGCATCATTTCCTCTTTCTTCCTCTTCTCGCGATTCTCCTCGATCAGACGGCGCTTGGCCACGCGCTTTGAGTCATCCAACACCACTATCAGACAGGGGCAGGAAGGACACAGTAACATGGAATTGTTCTTTTTTCTGTGGGAGATGAAAGCCTGCCAGTTTAGTCAAAAATAGGCACAGTGAACATGCATTATTGGACCGAGGAGCTCTGATATGTTTGTCTACAGCTGAGCTGGAAACCTTTCCAATGCAGTAGCTGTTGATCGTAGGTTTTACACTGAAAGGACTTTGATAATAGGCTAATTATGCACTATGCCTGGATGACTCTTTCACCGAGTGCCTATAATCACAGCTCTCTTCCAACATGAGTACTCCGTGCACATTCAGTGTCAGTAATAATCAATCCCTTCCTGTAAGGACACGGGCTAAATCAGTTTTAGCAAACGTGTTCCAAACATGACAACAGAAGCGGAGAATAATCACAAATAGATGTTACTTCTGTTGCATAACACTTTGTAGTAAAATCCTATATACGCTGCTGTATAAAGGCACAAACAGCTTGCATACAAGGTTGCACAGATGATATCCTGGTTACGCACTCAGTGCTAATAAAAGCACCTACTTTTGTGTACACTGCCATCCTCGTGCTTGCAAGGAGATCTGGTGACACTGAGTGTGTTTATCAGACGTGACTGAAGTCTCCTCCTCTGCTAATCCACTGCAGTAAATGGCTTACAAATTTAAAGCTCTAATGCTGCTAAAGCAAATACTAAAACAAACATAAAGAAGTAAATATGCTACAAATATTCTGAATGTGTGTGCGAGGGTTTTTTTAAACATCCTGGGAAACATCCACACAAGCAGATGCACTTGCAAAGATGCTGATGAGCATGTGAGAGTTCCCCATTATTCATCACTCTAACTAGTTAGACTGCAACGTTGTGCAGAAATCTGTGTGAACACCCAGTAACATGTTTTTGCAAATTTTGAAAGTGTGTACTGTTCATCTCAAATTAGAGTCCAGTACAAAGTTTTTATGTGAGAACAAAAGGCTCAGGCTACCCACGCATGCACGGGTTTCACGCTTCGATGCTCTTGCCTCTCACTTACTTTGAATGGGGCTGTGGATCCATCGTTCTGTTTTGTTTGTGATGAATATTTCCCTCTCTGTGCTTGAGGATAAGGATGACTGATTGTTGTAGTTGTATGCGAACAACGCTAGATGCCGATAGCTAGCTTAGCTCATGCTAATCAAAGCTCCGTTAGCTTGTTTTATGAAGGATTTTTATAGATGCTTTGAAGAGTATACCAGCACAGCTTCAGGCACAGCTACTGCCAAACACTGTAACAATGTGCACTGCTCACGTGGGCCGAAAAAGATAAAGCCAACACAAAAGTAGCAAAAACTAATGCATAGCTTCACTTTACATAAAAATGACACAGTGCATGATTTCTTTCTTCTTCTTTTTAAATCAATCCATCTGGATGCTGAGATTGGTGCAGGGGTTTGACAGGTGTCACAAATCAGGGAGCTAACTCTAGCCTCTGAACTGGACCTCTTCACCCTGTTTGTGCTCCTGCTGTCTTTTGGAACATTTTAGTGGAATTAACTGAGCAACAATTTGACTCTCTGTGGGGTAACACAGCGAACATTTTGATTTTGATGAGTAAAATTCTAGTATTTTTATCACTTTATTGCTCAGCACTGGTTAGCAGCTATCAGCACTTGTACATTTGATGAATGCCCGTAGCTAAGCACACTTGCAGGCATTATCAGATTAACAACTAATCACCTTCTCTTCTAAATAGAGTAACTTCTGGCTCTAAAAGTCCAACACAGCAGATAAAACTGAGAAGTTACAATCAACTAGCACCGTAACTGCCAGACACCATCTATTTTACCTTTTTATTTCTATGTGAAATATTTATTTTTACTAGTTACTAGTTGTAATTTTTTTGTTTTACTTTTCTGTTGTGCTTTCTAGTGTGAGTTACTTTCTCTGCACAGCACCTTCAATCTGCCTTTGTGTAAGAAGGCTGCTTTTTAAATAAATGAACCTCTGTGAACTAAAAATCATTACCTCTTCTCTAAAATCTATGACGAGCTTAAAAACAAACAAAAAAAAACTCACAGTCCATGGCCATGCCCACAGAGATGCATTTCTTAAAGCGGCACAGCTGGCACTGGTTGCGCGTGATCTTGTCGATGATGCAGCAACCTTCATATTTACAGGAGTAGGACGGATGGAGGTTCTTCTGGATGGTCCGGCGGAAAAAACCCTGAGGAGAAGGAAAGGGGAACAGGTGTCTTCCTGTTAAAAGGGAGTTTTTCCTTCCCACTTTCACCAAAGTGCTTGCTCATAGGGAGTCATATGATTGTTGGGTTTTTCTCTGTATGTATTATTGTAGTTTCTACCTTACAATAAAGGCCTTGAGGACCGTTGCTGTTATTGGGGCTGTATAAATAAAAATGAATTGAACTGTTGTGAAAATTAAATCCACCAATTAAATGTTCTTGTGTTCTGATTACAATAAAACAAGTTCATTAAATGAGTCACATCACAAGGCATGTTGGTGACTGTGAGCCAAGATCCTGTTTGCCAAAAATCGTGAAGTAATGAACTGATGGCATGACTGAACATCTCTCGCAAGCTTTACACGAGACGGTTCGATTGGAATAACACAGCAGACGTGGTTTACAAAGACCTGGTTTGAACCAAAAGTGGAGCGAGGTAGGAAGTGTTACTCTGTTATTTGAAAGTTAAGTGAATACGAAACAAGTGTTTCTGCCTGAGGAAACACATTTAAATTTAAATGTTGCTTCCCTGTGAGTGTGTTATATTGAGAATAACTGCAGCCAGTTTGAGGGGCTGCTGCCAGGCTGCCAGTCCTTAGATAATAGATCAGTTCTCAGCACCTCTGTGCCAGCCATCAAGGAGTCTGCTGGCAACTCACTAATGTACAGTATGGCACATATCACTGTATTTGACACAGGAGATTGATGCTTCCTTTAGTGATTTTTCCCTGAATAAACATCATAAAAGGCTGTTTTTCTGTAGCCCACAAATCAAAGGGACAAATAAAGACGCTATCAGACGTGTCAGACATGAGGCCCGATCACAGAATGGAAGGAACCAATCTTTCCACTGTTTGGCTGTGCTTTGTAAAATTGCAGTGCACAGGGGGATGGGACTTTTTACTCTTGTTTTGTGCTGAGAAACTCATTTTTTTAAACAACATTTAGAGTATTTAAGGTGGAACTGTTAATTTCCTGTGTGTGACTCCTCAGCTTTACAGCCTTCTTACTATCAAAGAGCCGGCTGCTTTGAGTGAATGTGAAACTGCACTTATTTTTCTAAACACGTGTCAGATTGCTCATCTGCTCATGTGGAAAGGGTTTATAAATATGAGCATTTTCAAAAACCACTTGTTTACATTAGAAGAAAACTTGGCGTAGCTTATGAGGCAGTGGTGTTACTGGTCCATTCTACTTCACATCAAACTCAACTTTAATTGGTTTTATGAACTGAGACCAGTCTGACAGCACTGATGTGAACTGTAGTGACAGATTTTCAGTCAAACTCACCTACTGTGTATATTAGGACACCAAATGTGTTTTCATCTTGGGCTGCAATCAGTCCCAAACAAAGTCGTCATTCTTACTCATGCTGGGAGTACAGCAACTGTGGTACCAAACAGACTAAATAAAGACTAAAGTGATTTCCTTTAAATAGTAAAAACTGAATATTTTTAAACCAGTCATGCTGCTCAGTCACATGAGGATCGTTAACAACCTAAATTGTGTAGGATGGATTGTGGCGTGATCAGAAAGTAACAAAGAGGCTATTGCTACTGAAATTGCATGAATGCTTGTTAACATGGTTCAAAGGTTGCATAATACTCAAATTATAGCAACACTGCAGGGGCGTTTGGGAGCTATGTAACTGCTGTATGCTATCCTGAGAAAAAGCTCCTCTCCACTGCAGAGCATCTATTCAGCTCTCTAACTACATGCATATTGTAGCTGCACAGAATGAGCTCATCTTCATCTACACAACAACACAGCTCTGCATCAGTACGTGTGAAAGAAATGGTGTAAGATATTACTGAGGTGGATTAATACAAAGCATTAAGAATGAGACAGCCTGAACATACTAAAATCTGAGGTTGGAGAATGAATTTTGATGGTAGCTTTCAGCTCGGCTCCGGATTGAACAAAAGACTCCTGAGGGAACTAGCTAACCTCATCAGAATAATTCAGTTAGCTGCGAAAATACATTGAGCTCACAATGGTTCTTTCTTACTGATCCTTCAGTGTTTCCTAAGTGCACTCTCTCAGCCAAACCGATTTACTCAGGAACAAATAAAACACTGAAAAACGCCAAATAATAAAATTTTTAAGTCTGAAATGATGTGCAGGGAGTTTGCTGTTCTCGGCTCTAGTGACCCCGGTCAGCTATAGAGCTGAGGGTAACAAACGTTTCTGAAAACGTTGGAACACTTTTGCAAGTATATGATGTCTTGATAAGCAGAGCAGATATTTGGAGTTTACACAGCTACATTCTCGCCTGAAAATATCTTAAAAGTTTATTTTGTGACCCAGAAAGAGTAATCAGAGTATTATTAAAATAAATAGCTGCTACCATTGTTGCCAGCTGGAATTAGCTGGGCCGTGCTATGAATTCTGGGATAGGTTGGGCCACGAAGAATACACCCAACCAATCTTTCCATTCTGGGGATAAGGAGGACACATTTGTCGGCCACATTTGGAGGAGTCTTTGAATTTGGACATCCTTCGCCACACCACTGTGACGTAATCGGCCTACAAATACGGCCTCCGAAGGATGCGGCCCCTATTGTAGCACAGCTACAATACCGGACACGCATTCCTGCCATCTTCTGTTTCAGTCTGTTATAAAACTCTTAAATCCTACTACTTATTCCTGCGTCTTTCAGGATCTTGCAAAGCTTCAAACGACGCATCAACTATTAAAGTAGTTGTCAACGATTTTGATAGTCGACAAACCTAACTGAAAGTGGCAAAAGTGTGGCAGTTCAAACACTGGAACTGCGTGTTTGCAACCAGAGAATTAGCACCCATCAGCTACAAGGGAAAAAAGCCCAATATTCACAATTTGGAAAAAAGCTGCTGTGTTCAGTATCTTTACCCCTAAAAATATCTCAAATGTACACAGAAGCAAACACACCCTGACAGAATTCCAGCAGCAGCATGTCCATAAATAAGCTGCCTTAGGTCATCCTAGGTCTTGGAGAGATTCCAGGACCTTGAATGACCTGCAGGATCTGCTCTTCTGATCTGCAGTGATGCACAGTGCTTTGCTTTCCAACTATCAATCATGCCGATACTGTCTGTCCCTCCCTTGTAGTGTTGTTCAGATATTATTCTGTCCATCGTCTGAGTGTATCACTGCACACTAGTTACATCATTTCAACTATGAAACAGAGAATTAGAGATTTATGAGAAACTATTATTGCATTTTATTTTATAGCAGATGGTTTTGTGAATAAGCATCTAATATAATCAATGTTAAGGTTCAGGGTTGGGAAGGTTACTTTTAAAATGTATTCTATTACAGAATACAGAATACATGCCCCAAAATGTATTCTGTAACGTATTCTGTTACGTTACTCAATGACAGTAACATATTCTGAATACTTTGGATAACTTAATATATTATCATGCTGTTTACAACAACGTGAATGTACTATTGCTGTGTGATTTATTACTATTACTGAAGGTCCGCGACTCCGAACTGTAGTAAAGGGACCTCTGACTAATACGGCGGGGTCCCTGTCGGCTCGTAGCCGAAAAATAGCTTTACTTTGTTGTGTGGGTTAACTCTGCTAGCAAGAGACAGAGAGAGGCGTTGAAAGGCTGCTCCAACGGAACTTATTGTTTTCGGAGGAAAACACGAACACCGTGTACAGTCGAGTCTTAATAGCTTACTTACAACTGGGCTCGTCAGGCACTCTTCTTGGCTGCAGTGGTTATTATTATATTTACATGCTTCCAGCTCCCGTTTTTCCTCGATGACAACTCGTACCTTTCCACTCCCCTTTTTCTCCCTCCTCGCGCTCACAGACCCATAACGTGTATGGCAGTCCATTCTCCCTGCAACACGGACTACACTGCCCATGATGCTACATTCTTTAGAGCTATGCTTGTAGCATTCTGCCTGTTAGCTTAGCACAACAACAACAACAACGAAAAGGCGCTCTCTCACCCAGGAAACACACAGTCGCAGAGAGAGAGAGAGCGTCGCCCTGTAACCATGGCAACCGTAACGCTGCCGCCTGGAACAACAGAACGTAGCTGTCAAACAAAACCCAAACAGTCCTGACCCGCGACAAATGAAACAGGAAAGTACCGCAGTGTAATCCATTTATTTCAACAAAGTAACTGTATTCTGAATACCACCTTTTTAAACGGTAACTGTAACGGAATACAGTTACTCATATTTTGTATTTTAAATACGTAACGGCGGTACATGTATTCCGTTACTCCCCAACACTGTTAAGGTTGCATCTGGGTGTCTTTTACTTCACACTTTGAAGAAATCCACCTCAAGTGGGGCTTTGTGGCCCAGCTTCAGAGACAGTGACTGTCTAGGAATTAGGGCTGTGTGGTGATAGGATTAAAAGCAGATTAGACAAGATTATTCCCATTCAGGTTGTTTAGGGAGTGTGGGAATTTAGTTAATGTGTTCTTCCCTTTTCCATCAGTGTGCAAATAAAGCCGGTGTGATCAGCTTTATGTCTGTGGTTAAAGTCCGTCAAACTGTAGGTACCATGGTAGACTTTTAGCATTAGAGCAGAACTAAAACTACAGGGCCAGTCCCATGGTGGGGTTTTTTCCACTACAAATGATTGAAAAATGGGAAGCAAATAACTTCCTTACAAATATCTTTAAATGGCAATGAGCAAGCTCCACCTGCACCAGTGTAAGGACTGACCATGAACGCACTGGAAACTGCAAAGTTGCCTAATTGCCATCGTTCTGGGACACAAAAGAATGTTGTCAGAAAGCTCTGTACAGAGTGGAAGAACAGAAGTCTGCTATTCTTTCCAGCTATCTCCCGTTTAATGACTGAAAACAATTGAAAATGTGATTTCTGTCAGGAGGGCACTCTGCCCTTCTATGTAATTATATAGAGAGACTAAAGGAGAAGCAGCAGCAAGACCCACCACAGAAAATAACAGGCAGTCAACTCCATTATTTACAGTGCATGCAGAAAGTAAGTATTCCTGTTACTTGTTCCACATTTTGCCATGTTATGTACACCCTGTTTTCCCTGATCATCTGTTAGATATTTCTACAACTTGATTGGAGTCCACCTGTGGTAAAGTCAGTTGATTAAACATGATCTGAAAAGATCACAAACCAAGCCATGAAGTCCAAGGAATTATCTGAGACAAGATCGTATTGAGGCACAGATTTAGGGAAGGGTACAGAAAAATTTCAGAAGCATTGAAAGTCCCAATGAGCAAAGTGGCCTCGTCATCCATAAATAGAAAAAGATTGGAACCACCAGGACTCTCCCTAGAGCTGGCCATCCGGCCAATCTGAGCGATCAGGGTAGAAGGGCCTTAGAGATAACCAAGAACCCAATGGTCGTTCAGCGTGACCACAGAGCTCCAGGATTGCTCTGTGGAGAGAGGAGGACCTTTCAGAAGGCCAACCATTTCTGCAGCACTCCATCAATAAGGCCTGTTTGGTAGAGTGGCCAGATGGAAGCCACTCCTCAGTGAAAGGCACATGACAGCCCGCCTGGAGGTTGACAAAAGACACCTCCAAGACAACGAGAAAATGCTCTCGTCTAATGAAACAAAGATTGAACTGTTTGGCCTGAACGCCAAGCATTGTGTTTGAGGAAACCCGGCGCCGCTCATCACCAATGGCATCCCCACAGTGAAGCATGGTGGTGGAAGCATCATGCTGTTGGGATGTTTTTGGCAGCAGGCAGAAAAAGATAAATGCAGCAATGTACAGAGACATCCTCGATGATAACCTGCTTCAGAGTCTCTGAACCTCAGACTTTCAACAGGACAATGACCCTGAGCACATAGCTTAGATAACAAAGGGGGGCTTTGGGACTACTATGTGAATGTCCTTGAGTGGCCCAATCAGAGTACAGACTTGAAGCTGACTGAAGATCTGTGGAGGGATCTGAAAATAGCTGTGCAGTGATGCTCCCCATTTAATCTGATGGAGTTAGAGACACTCTGCAAAAGAAAATGGAAGAAAATGCCCCAAAATGTGCTTAAATATAGTACTGAACAAAGGCTGTGAATACTTATGTACATATTTTAGCTTTTTGTTTTTAATAATTTGCAAAATTAATCTGTAAAAAAGATAAAATGTGGAACATTTGAAGCACTGAATAATTTACACTAAAACTGTACAAGCAATACAAAAGAGCCAGGTGGAGTGGGGTTGCAAAATGGCATGCAGAAGCATACAGCATACAGCAACTATAATCCTGAGGTTGACTTCGTAGACGGTCAGAACCACCACACCTGAGATTTAACATCAAGTAATGTTATTAATGTTTTTTTAAACCTACCAAACCATAAAATTAAAAAAGAGAAGACAAATCAATCCTGCTATTATTGGCTGATTTGTACTCAGTGAGTGGAGCAATTTCATTGTGTGATGTAGCAACAGTGACTTAGTTTCCAACATAGTGTCGCATTAATGTGAAAAAAATCATTGTTGTTTTGTTTTGAAACATGTTTCAGGGGAAAAGAAATTGTGTTCTTTCATAAGACCACAAAAGATAAAAAAATCCTCACTTGTTGGTTCATATATGAATATATTTTCAGTGTAAAGATTGTGGTGGGAATGCAACCTGAAATCTAACAAAACCAGTGTCGAATGACAAACATCACATCTTTTCTCTTAAACAGATTTTAGACGATGGTAACAATATTCGTTTTTCACCTGAGCTCATGAGCAGCACCGCCTGCATCAGCGCCACCTCCGAGTCATCCAGATTAAATTGTGCTAGACTCTTGCCCAGATCAAAGATGGCGTCCGACACCACGCCCAGCCCGCCGTTCTTCAGCTGCTCGCGTTTCACAGCCATCTCGCCGTTTAGAGTAAGAGTCTCGCTGTCGGGATCGTAGCGAACAGCAGCACGCAGTGACATGATCTCCATGCAGCAGCCTTTCAGCAGGATGATCTGGTCCTCACAAGGCAGCTGGGAAACAAGATTTGAGCTTGTCAGGAAATGAGACAATGCTGAACTTCAATTAGAAAAGTCTGTCAGTTGTGTTTGTTTTCTAAACTATTGAGACATTGATGATATAATAGTAACTAAAAGCTAGCTAGCAAATATTAAGCAATTTGTTACAAAAATAAAGTTACACCAACTGCAATGATCTTTTCAGTTTTTATTTACATTGACACAGTGTCCCGACTCTTTCACAATAACAAACAGAAACACACAGTGAAATGGATTAGGACTGCTTTTCCTCCACCCCATTATAAGAGGGGAAGGGTTATAATATTCTAGTCACAACAAGTCCTTTGCCAGGCTTTATGTAACCAGGAAGCCCCTACAATATACATGATGAGTGCACTCAGTTAGGTGGGAAGACATGCGATGGCACTTGCTCACAGATCGTTTGCACAGAGAGCAAAGCAATATCAGTAAGTGGTGAGTCACCACTTAATACAGAGAGAGAGGGAGACAGCGGTGGGGGTGTGGGGTGGATTAGTCAGTGTAATCCCAGCTGACACGCAGCAGGACAAAAGCTTCAGATGGAGGAAGTTCCCAATCAAAAGACCCAGCTTAGGTTAACGAGCTTGTTAGTGTTTTAACGGAGAGCTACGCTCACAGTCTGCCTTTAAACGTTACAGTGAAACCAGAGTATGCGCACGTGTAGTTTAGATAACAATGTTAAATCATTTATAGCCGTCTAAATTCAAAGTGGAAATCAGAATTTAAAGAAGTGACAATAAAGAAACTCACAGTGTTAATTTCAGTAAAAGTGGAAGCTCGAGAGAGCGACACATTTTTAAAGCCGCTGGATTGAATTGTTCTTGTCTTTGAAGTAGACGGGCTATATTTAGGTACTGTGTGAGCTGACATTTTGGGAAAAGATATAAAAGACTGAAATGGGGGTTTGGAAACCTTTCCTGGGGCACAGAGTAAGAAATCAGACTGCTGCTGATGTTTCTCTTAAAACTTGTCTCTTACTGAATGCAGCATAAACTTAAACAATACTATCGCAGATTTTTAGAAGCCTCTTCAGTTAAATGTTGCACATTATTCACTGAGGTTCTTTAATCTGTACTGTTAACTGATCTTGTTACGCGACTTTCATGTTAAGAGTAATTTCTGTTGATGACAGCTGGGGTCACCCATAAGTTCATGATATCCAAGCCAGAAGGCAACACACTGGGCCAGCTGAAGGAAAGTTAAGTTGAAGAGTTGCCATTGTGACACATTGGAGGAGATCCAGCATATAATGCAAAGGCACAACTGCAAGGGACAGAACGGGACTTCCAGGCAGTGATCTAGAAATAGCAGCAGAAGTGGAAGCAGTCCAGAGCTGCACGAGAACATGACCTTCACGGTAAAATGATTTTGATGGCAGGCAACAGTTTGATGGCACAGGTTGCCTGGTGGGAAGCGACCTGTCGGCAAACAAACGCAAACACGTTGCAGTCAATCGGAGGCAGGCTGTGCTGATGACTGCAACTCGTCTGCATCTCTTTTCAATAAGAGATTTGACTCAGCTGGTTGTATTCTACTTATATTCCTACATAAAAGCAATACTGATAAGAGTCTATGTGATTTACTGTTAAATTGCAGTCTTGCAGCAAATATGTCACAATTTAAAGAGAAATATCTGATTTTTTTCTTTGATGAGGTTCTGTCTGGACTGGAATGTACGCCACTAATGTGAAATTTTGTGTAATTGAAACTTTTGTGTATATAAACAGCAACAGTTTTGCGATTATCCCAACTCTGTCATCACGAACAGATTGCATGCTAACTTAATCCTGTTCAGCTGCAAACTGATAGCAGACGAAATCCATCTTACAGCTAATGTTTCATATTAAAGATATCCACATAAAAAGCAGATTTGTTTTATTGTACTATAAATCTAGTCCTGTGTAAGCGGGATGTGAGGAAAAGTCAGAGTCTGTCTGGAGCACACACACAGCATCCAAGGCAGAGGATCCTGACTTGTGAAGTTATCACTGAATAAAAGGCGAGAGTGATCGGAAAGTTGGAAAACTGACGTGATGTGCGAGCAGAATCAAAGACTGAAGATAAATACAAAACAAAGAGTGATGTAAAGCCCCACGCATACCACATACCTCTGAAAACATGGGCAGTTTCTTGGCAAAGTCGACGACGCGAGTGATGGCAGGGGTCATTATCTTGGTGAACTCGCTGAAGACTTCCAGATCCACCTTATCTCCGTCTGAAGTGGGCACCATAGGACCCTGGCCAATATCATCGGGCTAGAAAGGAGACATTGTTCAACTATTAAATACCACAAGAAATATCTGCTGAATGAGACGCTTAACGCCCGGCCTGTGGGTTGATTCTCTTTGCAGAGGAGGCGTATCAAAGAAGCTCAAGGAAAAATGGAGTCGGTTCAGGAGATTACAGCTTTAGAAGAACACGATGTAATATAAATGTAAATGCAGCATATACAATGTTACGTTATGATGTTACAAAACGGAAACAAATATTTAAAACTGCATGTTTATTTCTGGTCTTTGATGCCAACTGTTCAGCGGTGTGTGCAAGATGCAAATCACATCACAGTCGTTGCATTGTTTTAGTTTAAGCACATGAATGTTCGCTCTTTTGTAATATGAGCACAATGCCTAAGAAATTATTTCCAGTTGCTGGCGAACGCTACATAAATAAAAGTGAGCTGAATCGAACTGTAACCTGAAGACTGTTAAAAACTTTAAAGCCGTCTTTACCTTCATGGAACTGTTGCCTGGTAACAAACATCTGACCTTTGCGTCAAGGTAACCATGGGAGGTTTAAAGCACGTGCGCCTGCACGTTACACTGATCACATGGGACGCCACAGAGCAAGCTGGCCATGATGAAAAGGAGAGCTCTCAAAACGGCTTCTTTTGAAATGAAAAGAAGTCGCCTTCTTTTATGTTGATGTTTGATATCTGAAGTGGAACTGACTTTCAAGGCGCTGTTGAATTCTGGAGTAACGAGCTACATGAAAGAAGGAAGGAGCTGTTGCGAGGACCAAACAGCAGCCCGATTCAAATGCCCAGATCTGTGTTATGTAATTTTTTTTGCACTTTCTGCTGCGTTTTCATAATCTAAGATGATGCTTTATACTTTTTCCATCTCTGTTGCTGTATAATTTACATTTTTGCTTTCTATAATCTTCATATTTGTTATCTCTAAAGCACCTTGGGTGTGCAGGCAGTCATTATTGGACCGTTTGGAAGTTTTTTTCCTGCACGGGATCCTTCTCGGTCACATTGAATAGATCTGTGTGTAACAAATACATTTTTGCATGACGCAAAAGAGCGATTGTTGGCAATTAAGGTGCAAACGGCACCTCGGTTTCCTCCACGGGCTGTGCGCCACAGCCACGGCTGACACAGACGAACAGCGTGATGTAAAACTCTGCAAAGCTTTACATCACTTTTTACAGCAGTGTCATGTTCAGTTCTCTGAACTGAACATGACACTGCTATTGACTTTCATGTGAAAAGATTTCTATTCTAGTTTATGCAACAGTGCTCAGCCTAAAGGCGATGTCCACTCAACTAAAAGCCTACCAGGAATTTGCGCTTCTGTTTCCAGCTGGAGCCCTGGGCGTTGGTGTGCCGGTGGGCTTCGGTCACCATCCTGATCAGCTCCCACTCTGCTGTGTCTGGCTCTGGCCTCGTCTGTAGCATCCGCATCATTTCCTCTTTCTTCCTCTTCTCGCGATTCTCCTCGATCAGACGGCGCTTGGCCACGCGCTTTGAGTCATCCAACACCACTATCAGACAGGGGCAGGAAGGACACAGTAACATGGAATTGTTCTTTTTTCTGTGGGAGATGAAAGCCTGCCAGTTTAGTCAAAAATAGGCACAGTGAACATGCATTATTGGACCGAGGAGCTCTGATATGTTTGTCTACAGCTGAGCTGGAAACCTTTCCAATGCAGTAGCTGTTGATCGTAGGTTTTACACTGAAAGGACTTTGATAATAGGCTAATTATGCACTATGCCTGGATGACTCTTTCACCGAGTGCCTATAATCACAGCTCTCTTCCAACATGAGTACTCCGTGCACATTCAGTGTCAGTAATAATCAATCCCTTCCTGTAAGGACACGGGCTAAATCAGTTTTAGCAAACGTGTTCCAAACATGACAACAGAAGCGGAGAATAATCACAAATAGATGTTACTTCTGTTGCATAACACTTTGTAGTAAAATCCTATATACGCTGCTGTATAAAGGCACAAACAGCTTGCATACAAGGTTGCACAGATGATATCCTGGTTACGCACTCAGTGCTAATAAAAGCACCTACTTTTGTGTACACTGCCATCCTCGTGCTTGCAAGGAGATCTGGTGACACTGAGTGTGTTTATCAGACGTGACTGAAGTCTCCTCCTCTGCTAATCCACTGCAGTAAATGGCTTACAAATTTAAAGCACTAATGCTGCTAAAGCAAATACTAAAACAAACATAAAGAAGTAAATATGCTACAAATATTCTGAATGTGTGTGCGAGGGTTTTTTTAAACATCCTGGGAAACATCCACACAAGCAGATGCACTTGCAAAGATGCTGATGAGCATGTGAGAGTTCCCCATTATTCATCACTCTAACTAGTTAGACTGCAACGTTGTGCAGAAATCTGTGTGAACACCCAGTAACATGTTTTTGCAAATTTTGAAAGGGTGTACTGTTCATCTCAAATTAGAGTCCAGTACAAAGTTTTTATGTGAGAACAAAAGGCTCAGGCTACCCACGCATGCACGGGTTTCACGCTTCGATGCTCTTGCCTCTCACTTACTTTGAATGGGGCTGTGGATCCATCGTTCTGTTTTGTTTGTGATGAATATTTCCCTCTCTGTGCTTGAGGATAAGGATGACTGATTGTTGTAGTTGTATGCGAACAACGCTAGATGCCGATAGCTAGCTTAGCTCATGCTAATCAAAGCTCCGTTAGCTTGTTTTATGAAGGATTTTTATAGATGCTTTGAAGAGTATACCAGCACAGCTTCAGGCACAGCTACTGCCAAACACTGTAACAATGTGCACTGCTCACGTGGGCCGAAAAAGATAAAGCCAACACAAAAGTAGCAAAAACTAATGCATAGCTTCACTTTACATAAAAATGACACAGTGCATGATTTCTTTCTTCTTCTTTTTAAATCAATCCATCTGGATGCTGAGATTGGTGCAGGGGTTTGACAGGTGTCACAAATCAGGGAGCTAACTCTAGCCTCTGAACTGGACCTCTTCACCCTGTTTGTGCTCCTGCTGTCTTTTGGAACATTTTAGTGGAATTAACTGAGCAACAATTTGACTCTCTGTGGGGTAACACAGCGAACATTTTGATTTTGATGAGTAAAATTCTAGTATTTTTATCACTTTATTGCTCAGCACTGGTTAGCAGCTATCAGCACTTGTACATTTGATGAATGCCCGTAGCTAAGCACACTTGCAGGCATTATCAGATTAACAACTAATCACCTTCTCTTCTAAATAGAGTAACTTCTGGCTCTAAAAGTCCAACACAGCAGATAAAACTGAGAAGTTACAATCAACTAGCACCGTAACTGCCAGACACCATCTATTTTACCTTTTTATTTCTATGTGAAATATTTATTTTTACTAGTTACTAGTTGTAATTTTTTTGTTTTACTTTTCTGTTGTGCTTTCTAGTGTGAGTTACTTTCTCTGCACAGCACCTTCAATCTGCCTTTGTGTAAGAAGGCTGCTTTTTAAATAAATGAACCTCGGTGAACTAAAAATCATTACCTCTTCTCTAAAATCTATGACGAGCTTAAAAACAAACAAAAAAAAACTCACAGTCCATGGCCATGCCCACAGAGATGCATTTCTTAAAGCGGCACAGCTGGCACTGGTTGCGCGTGATCTTGTCGATGATGCAGCAACCTTCATATTTACAGGAGTAGGACGGATGGAGGTTCTTCTGGATGGTCCGGCGGAAAAAACCCTGAGGAGAAGGAAAGGGGAACAGGTGTCTTCCTGTTAAAAGGGAGTTTTTCCTTCCCACTTTCACCAAAGTGCTTGCTCATAGGGAGTCAATATGATTGTTGGGTTTTTCTCTGTATGTATTATTGTAGTTTCTACCTTACAGCATAAAGCGTCTTAAGGTGACCGTTGCTGTTATTGGGGCTGTATAAATAAAAATGAATTGAACTGTTGTGAAAATTAAATCCACCAATTAAATGTTCTTGTGTTCTGATTACAATAAAACAAGTTCATTAAATGAGTCACATCACAAGGCATGTTGGTGACTGTGAGCCAAGATCCTGTTTGCCAAAAATCGTGAAGTAATGAACTGATGGCATGACTGAACATCTCTCGCAAGCTTTACACGAGACGGTTCGATTGGAATAACACAGCAGACGTGGTTTACAAAGACCTGGTTTGAACCAAAAGTGGAGCGAGGTAGGAAGTGTTACTCTGTTATTTGAAAGTTAAGTGAATACGAAACAAGTGTTTCTGCCTGAGGAAACACATTTAAATTTAAATGTTGCTTCCCTGTGAGTGTGTTATATTGAGAATAACTGCAGCCAGTTTGAGGGGCTGCTGCCAGGCTGCCAGTCCTTAGATAATAGATCAGTTCTCAGCACCTCTGTGCCAGCCATCAAGGAGTCTGCTGGCAACTCACTAATGTACAGTATGGCACATATCACTGTATTTGACACAGGAGATTGATGCTTCCTTTAGTGATTTTTCCCTGAATAAACATCATAAAAGGCTGTTTTTCTGTAGCCCACAAATCAAAGGGACAAATAAAGACGCTATCAGACGTGTCAGACATGAGGCCCGATCACAGAATGGAAGGAACCAATCTTTCCACTGTTTGGCTGTGCTTTGTAAAATTGCAGTGCACAGGGGGATGGGACTTTTTACTCTTGTTTTGTGCTGAGAAACTCATTTTTTTAAACAACATTTAGAGTATTTAAGGTGGAACTGTTAATTTCCTGTGTGTGACTCCTCAGCTTTACAGCCTTCTTACTATCAAAGAGCCGGCTGCTTTGAGTGAATGTGAAACTGCACTTATTTTTCTAAACACGTGTCAGATTGCTCATCTGCTCATGTGGAAAGGGTTTATAAATATGAGCATTTTCAAAAACCACTTGTTTACATTAGAAGAAAACTTGGCGTAGCTTATGAGGCAGTGGTGTTACTGGTCCATTCTACTTCACATCAAACTCAACTTTAATTGGTTTTATGAACTGAGACCAGTCTGACAGCACTGATGTGAACTGTAGTGACAGATTTTCAGTCAAACTCACCTACTGTGTATATTAGGACACCAAATGTGTTTTCATCTTGGGCTGCAATCAGTCCCAAACAAAGTCGTCATTCTTACTCATGCTGGGAGTACAGCAACTGTGGTACCAAACAGACTAAATAAAGACTAAAGTGATTTCCTTTAAATAGTAAAAACTGAATATTTTTAAACCAGTCATGCTGCTCAGTCACATGAGGATCGTTAACAACCTAAATTGTGTAGGATGGATTGTGGCGTGATCAGAAAGTAACAAAGAGGCTATTGCTACTGAAATTGCATGAATGCTTGTTAACATGGTTCAAAGGTTGCATAATACTCAAATTATAGCAACACTGCAGGGGCGTTTGGGAGCTATGTAACTGCTGTATGCTATCCTGAGAAAAAGCTCCTCTCCACTGCAGAGCATCTATTCAGCTCTCTAACTACATGCATATTGTAGCTGCACAGAATGAGCTCATCTTCATCTACACAACAACACAGCTCTGCATCAGTACGTGTGAAAGAAATGGTGTAAGATATTACTGAGGTGGATTAATACAAAGCATTAAGAATGAGACAGCCTGAACATACTAAAATCTGAGGTTGGAGAATGAATTTTGATGGTAGCTTTCAGCTCGGCTCCGGATTGAACAAAAGACTCCTGAGGGAACTAGCTAACCTCATCAGAATAATTCAGTTAGCTGCGAAAATACATTGAGCTCACAATGGTTCTTTCTTACTGATCCTTCAGTGTTTCCTAAGTGCAATTTTTATGTATAGAGTGAGGTGGGAGTGGGGGCACATGCAGGTGAAAGGAAACATAATCAGGAGGAGTAATCGTAGCTGCCTCGTCAGGGAGCCGACGGACTTTTGTACTATTTTCCTCCGCAGCTTCAATTAGCTTGGCGTAGGGACACATGATTTTGGTTTATGCAGACTCTCATGTTTACCCTACAGAGGCAGCGGGAGCCTATGGCGCTGGAGTTGGAGTCTGTCCAAGACAAGAGACGTCCTGGAGAAACAGCTGAATGTCATCATAACAGTGAACAAGTCAGTTGCTGGTAGGACAACAGAAGACATGACGGGCTGGGGCTAGCTCGTTAGCAGTGAAAGAAGTTACAAATCACACTGTTCACTGTCTGCAAAAGTACTAAAATACAGCACAAATGATACCTGGGCAGCCCACCCAACTTCACGTTTATGTGTTTCGAACACTGAGCTTTTTCACGTTTAACTATTCAGCTACCTGTAGCTCTTTGAAATCAGTTTACAAGACAGTTTGCTACCTTTAAGATTAGGCTTACACCTTCCATTTTTGATAAAACTTATCGCTATGGCCTGAATCTTGCTTACTTATGCTCCAACAGGCCAGGCCGCTGTGGGCTTTCCATGAAACACTGTTTTCATTCACTCTTTTCACTCTCCACATGTTTATACAGTTTGCACTCTGTGTTTAGTCATTAGATCTTCTTCCTCAGTGTGTCTTTTGTCCTGTCTTTCTGCCCTGAACCCATTCCTTCTTGAAGATTCTTCCTGTTAAAACAGAGTTTTTCCTTCCCACTCTTGCCAGGTGCTTGCTCATAGGGGGTTGTCTGATTATTGAGGTTTTCTTTCGATTATATTAAGTCTTTACCTTACAATATAAACTGCCTTGAGATGACTGTTGTTCTGACTTGGTGATATATAGATAACAAAGAATTGAAGTAACTGCTTTCAGATTTATAAGTTCCTTTGTGGTGATGTTAACTGTCATTTTAGAGCTGGATCAGCCACCTCTACCTCCTGCCAGAGCTGTCAGAGTGTATAATACATGACAAACTAATATCTGCACCATGTTGATACAACAGAGGTGTTATGTACCTTGCAGCCCTCACAGGTGATGCAGCGGTAGTGGTACCCAGTCGCCTTGTCCCCACACACTACACATGGCTCGTCCTTCTCCAGGTAGCTGGGGATGTACCCTGGAACAGAGACGCTAAGAGCTATAGGAGAGGAAGAGGAGGTCGAAAAGGAAGATAGGATGGAATGAGAGATGGGTGAAGGAGTGCGAACAAGGGAGTACAAGCAAGATGGATGGTGAGGCGTGATGACGTAAGGGCAAGAGTGATAAAGGAAGATCAGGATGAATGGGGTCAGAGGGAGGAAGAGAAGAAGAGGAGAAGTAGTGATGAGGAGGAGTGGAGAAGGAAAGGAGGGGCGAGGATGAGTGTTATCACAGGGGCCTCAATGAAAGACCTGCATACATGGCCCCTACAGACTGTGATACCAGATGAAACATATACACAGTTGCAAGAATAAGACAGTATACCAATAACATGTGAGTTTTGAAGTCAGACGATTAAACTTCATCTTAGTCACATTTACAGACAACACAACCTGATTATTGCCAAGACTTGCACATCAAGATGAGAGAGAGCTCAGTTCATCAATATTTCTTCTCATCACACAGCAAGCTCCATCTCAAAGGTCAGAATTCTGATTTGATCATTCCAAAACCAGATGCTGTAGAGTGCAGCGAGGAATGCCCAGGAATGGCCAACTGTCTGCCATCTATAATCCAGTTTTGAGATCCCTCCCCAGACGCCTTAACGCCCACTCACATCCTGGGCCATTTGACCTCAGGAATTCGCATGATAAGGTGGGGCCAGGTTTCACAATGAACACACCCGAAACTCTGGCTGATTGGGACCCACACCCAGTTTCACACCTTGGCTCAGGCAATTAGAGGATCATCAGGGGGACCTTTTGTCCCTCTGTGGGGGGAAACTCCCACTAGGTTTAAATCTGGGACTCTCCACCATTTGACCTTAGAACTGAAGAAGCTTCTCGGATGAGAGGTGAAACGTCTCCAAGTAACTTAAAGAAGTCCAGACGCTTTTCTTTGCAAGCTCCTTTGACTACGATGAACTGGATGACTGAGAACCTTCACATACATCCAAAACCAGAGTTTTCCTCTTTTTCAGCCATTCTGATATTTGTTCACTTGTGTGCTTTAGGATCAGAAGCTTCATTCTCCTATAATCTTATATGTTTTGACACAATTCTGAATTCCCATATCCCTCAATGACTGCAAGGACCCTGGCCTTGAGGAAATCAACTCTAAGCCACAATGCTACTTCCACCACACTTCACGGTGGGGATGATGTTTTGGTGCAGTACCTTTTCAGTGTCAGGCAAAAGCTCAGCTTTTGTCTCTTCACATTACGTGTTTTTTCATGAACAAAGACTAAAGCTAAGTGTAGGGATTTCTGCAAACATTTTACTCCAAACGCTGGGTTCTTTCCAATCTGCCAGGACTGCATGTTGTGTTTTTGGTGTCCTGAACTTTGCTCCATTTGTGGGCAGTTTGCCTACCCATGGACTGATGTACAGCCAAGTCTTGCTTTTGTAGCCTTTGCCAGCTTCATACCTCTTTTAAGGTCGTCTAAAAGTTTTGAGCAATGATTGAGGAAGAGTTCACACCAGCCAGCCTTTTTTAAAGATGATAAGACTAGTAAACAGATTTTTTATGGCTTTACTAATAGGGGGAGGGGGGCTCTATAACCAACAATTGCAGTCTCCTTAATAGGAGCACCTCACTCCCAGAACCTTTTGGAGAAATCACTCGCACAAAGTTTTTCTTCCCTGCTTTTGTCTGTAAATGTGACTTAGACTTAAGGTCAAAGATTAAGAGTGGAAAGCCTGTTAATTAAATCCTTGTATAACAACCTTTTTTTTGCAACTTTAAGACAGGCCGTCTTTCCCGCAGACTCCGATATCATGCCAGCTTATAAGGTTTACACTCACATTCCCAGAATTCATGAAATATGCTTTTCATCTTCACATTTCATTGACTAATTTATTTCTCTTCAGAAGTTTCCTTGAACTCTTTGATCCTCTGAAGTCACACAATATGAATATATGTAACGTACATAAGAATTCTAACCTCTAAGCTGTCATGTAGTTGCACAAGGACCACCAACCACCCAAAGCACAGGTGCAAACAATAACCCACATGTACAGACGCTGCTGGAAATCACAAAAGTAAAGTCTGCTCCACAGGGAGCATACTTCTTCAGTCAATCCTCTTGTACTACTGAAGCGAAGAAGGAAAAAAAGTAGATCCATTCTGATTCTGTATAATTTCATGCAATAATGTATAATAAACATATAAAAGTGAACGAACAATGCTGTTCCTGAGTTAAGTGGTTTACAGGAAGTCGTTTGCATCTTCATCACAGACGGGATTTGCAACATAGCTTTGGTCGTGATGTAAGAGTTATCCTGTACAAGACCCACCAACTAATTGGTGACTGGCAACCATTGGGATCTCGGGAAAAAGTGTATTTCCTGACAGTGATGCATCCAAAAATTCCTTGTGACTGTTTTGGTCGTTAGCAGACTAGCACACTCAACTACGGATTCTGTGGAAAATGTTAATTTGTCTGAAACCACACGCAACTACTGTGAAAAGTGTGGCCCAAACCTTTAGCCATCAAGTAAAAGTTGGATCTTTTGAAATGCACTGGTTCCAGCATTAAGGCCCACCTTGTATTAAATGTGAACGTTCCAGTTTTAGTGTGCAGAAAGAGCCCAATTAAAGACATGTCTAGGTTCAAAGACTGTTGTGATTTTGCAATTTCAATACATATAATTCATAATCCAGATTTTTAATTAAGCACCCCTACACCACAAGCTACCACTATGGAAAACACTACATTTGCCCCGATTAATTTGGCTCGACGATATCTGAGGCTAGCATATTAAATCAGGAAAAAAAAAATCATGAACAAAATACGAAGTTTACAGGTAGAAATAAATGCTGATTCTGTTTATTTATCCATAACATGAATAATGATTATTGCATACATCTATTTCTTTTCTGATATAATCCATTAAAGATTAGTCCTGAACATTCATAGACCTGCCTAACCAATCCCCCTTGGTTAGCTGATTTGTGTTCAACAAGGCCTCTGAGGGAAACTATACAATGGTGACGAGGAATAATCATATTCCTGACAATAAGGACACCACTGAAAACCCAGGGGAGCTGCCGAGTCACGGATTTAAACCAATCACTGGCCGAATCCAGCAGTACATCAAAAGACATCGTCTTAGAGGAAATATGCTTTGAATTGTGTTCACTTCCATGTGGGGGGTGACACAAACAACACGAGTGAGGCAGAGATAATAAAGTTAGTTACCGGACATGCTCTTCACTGAGCACTGGCTGTTCTTTCTCTTCCTTTTCGGCACATCTGGCCATCTGGGAGGGTGGAGGAGAAGAGGGTGGAAGGGAAAAAAGACATAAGTGATTAAAAAAAGATAACATTATAGCAGCTTCAGGAAAAAAAAAATCATTAATAAGATTTCTTTTTCCAATCCAGATAATGCAAAGACAGTTTCCGTTTTTTTTTTTGTAATTAACTACATTAAAAAAGACATAAGATAACACTGCTAGAAAAACTGGTAGAGAAACGTGGAAACTATGCTGCATTTTAGATATTTAAAGGAATCCTCTCCATAAATATGTTGGTCTGCAGTCATAGCACAGACTTACATTTTACATTTGGTTTGCTGGGTAACCAGTCTGACACTTGACATTATATAAGAGCTGTTAGTTTGCTATGAAAATGTTTTTAATTTCTAAAGATCTACTCGTCAAGGTTGTCACTTGTCTCAGACTCTTTTCGCTCTTTACATTGAACCTTTAGCACAGGCAATAAGAGAAAATAATAGTATTCATGGGGTCGTAGTTAATTCAAGAGAACACAAAATAGCTGACGATGTCCTTTTGTACTTGTCTGTACTGACCCCCCTGTTCTGGTCGACTGGTTGAGCGTTGTTGAGGAGATTCATAAAATGGAAAAACTTACCTTTTTGTTAAGGCTGCAAGCTAATATTTATACCACAAGATGGGACAAGTGGTTGAAATATATCCGAAATTAGAATTTTTTTTCTTCCTTTCTCCTGTTTGTGCCTACCCACATCTATATAAACTCTTGCATGCCTCTCCGAGGCTGCTCTTACATCTGTATATGTGCTGTCAATTCATGGATATAAAGTCATGTTCTCACTGCCAGAATTGCTTTGTGGGAAAAAGCTGTGCTTTTCAGTCGACTGCTTGTTTTATTATTGTTGTTTTTGGTTGTTTGTTGTTTTCCTTTTCTGTTAAAATACGTAAAACCTTTAACAAAAACTAAGTAATAAAAAAGAAGAAAATGTTTTTAATTTCTAAGATCTTTCAAGATCTCAGTGTCTCCTTGTCTTGCTTGTTTTGAAATATGTTCAACACGTGGTCCCAAAATGAGTTCTGGTAATAAATTTGCTAAAGTCATGGTTGAGCGTGGTGCTAATTAGCAATCCAAACCACCACAATATGCATGGTAAACAAATACAGCACAGTCTCTTCAAACGCCACTTCAGCCTCGTCTATGGTTACAGCAGAAACAGGCTGGTATATTTGAATCTTGTTATTTCGCTGCACTATTGAGTTTGTTCTGCAAATAGACTTTGGTTTGAGCCCATTTCCTTTTTGTTGCTAGGCAAAATTCTTACCTTGTTTAACCTTACTTGACGAACTATGCTACCCAAGCTAGCTTGAGTAGTGTTAGTCGATAATGGCACAGATCAAACACTTGACCATACACGGTAATGACCGGTTTAAAAACAAACAAATAAAACGATAGAATAAGAACAGGATGGTTTACAAATTACCGAGTGTTGTCGCGTCATTTATGGCGGGCTCTAATGTCAGTTTGTACTGCAAGCATTCTGCACATGTTAGCATACTATGAATGGCTGGACAAACGAAACTGATAGGCAACAAAGTTTAACTTCCAACACTTTTGGGGGATTACTGACAAACTCTGGTCACGGATTCAAAACTGAATCATACCAATGCTTCCCATGCATGGAAATGAAGGCCACTCCACTCTATCCTCTCCACTTAAAGACTGCACATGCACCATTCATCCCCACCTTCTGTCTCTTTCTATAATTTTGTATCCTTCTCCTTTATCACGCTCACATGACAAATTCTGTTATTTGCAGCAGATTTGGATTACCACACTCTCTCCATCCCCCCCTCCCTTCCCCCCCATCTATCCACATGTTTGGCTGTTTGCTCCACACCCCTCACATTCCCATTTTCTCTGTCTCTTTAAAAGCTCTCTCTCCAAACCACTGTCACTTTGTCGACTCACAGCTACTGCTATATTCCCTCGATCCTCCCAGTGATTTCTGTCTTTCCCTCCGCCCCACCTCTTTCCTCTTCTCCTCCCTCAACTTCCATCAACACTATTAGGTAACACCACTGTCGTCCCTCCTTCCCCCTGCTCACTGGCTGTCAAATCCACTTTGCTCTTCCAACCTAAAAAAAAGAAAAGAAAAAAAATCCTCTGACGTCTCTTTTTCAGTTCTTGCTGCTCTTCACGGTCCATGAAACATATTATCTTTAAAGCAGTGCACATGGTGAGGCAGTAACATGGTGGGAAACTGTCTGCTCTGGTAGCTGATCAATGTAAACTGAACTGGAGTTTATGTCAGTGTTGACAGCTCTTGTATACATTTTCTACAATGTGAAGGAATAACTCAAATGTGCAAGTTGGTGAGGTTTGGAAAAATTTCCAGAGAATGATTTAGCGCTACTTGAAATCCAAATCCAACTTAAAAAAATGACAATCCACAGGGGAGAGGAAGTTTACGTCTTTTGAAAACTGCAATCATAAAGCTGCAACCATTTATTCCTGACCGCTATGGGGGCAGCAGAACAGAACAGGCTGAAGACGTCCAGCCCTCAGTGGTCTCCATGGTGGTTATAGAGAAGAAGGGTGAACAATTACAGTTTTGTATTTATACATATATTTTTTAGCAAGTTGTTGTGGTGTCTGCCATTTATCAATGAGAAAAACCTGATATGTTGTGAATCTCAGTAAGCTGCAAATCTATGCAAAAGGCGACTGCTAGAGCAAACAATCAGTCATATATGACAATTATCAGAGCACAAATCTTTGCGTTTGATTTGCGTACCAAAATCATTCTTAATATCTACTTTCATACCAAACCAATGTGTCCTTAAACATAAACCCGTTAATGAGTTTGTCTGAATGCCTGACAGGATGGTAGCAGGATGTTACTTTAAAATGGGAACATTTATTTTGTTGCCAGACAAACCGGTAACACGCATTTTTGGATAATTTTAGGATAAAAAGAAATGCACAGATCATTTTACATGTTGAGCTGAAACTCAGTCAGCTTGAGTCCTTACAATGGATCTCTTGCAGGTGCGTCACACTGAATTGAAAATGAGCCTTAATTGCTCTGAAAAGCAGGGCAGCATTTTCGCATATTGTCTTTTGCATATCAAATATCACCATACCCAACTTTGACTGCCATTCTTATCAATGAGTTGGGACAGAGATACTGCGACAGTTGGACTAGCCCATCTTCCAATGACAGTAGTTTTCACTGTGTGTGGGTGTACACAACTTTCTTATAGATGTCCCCGGGAGTTCTGAGGATTTTCTGCCCTGGCTTTTGGTCTCAAAACGTATTGTAATGATCGGTTCTTGTGACACCCTTAATGAGCTTGTTTAAACCATTACCATCTTCGTTAGATTTTAAACACTATAACTACCTAATTAATTAATTGATAACTTTGTGAGTTAGTTGAACAAGCAGTCTTAGGCTGATTTGTTAATGTTACTACTCTTGTAACAAGCTACTTGGCATCCATGCTACGGCAGCTTTAAATAGAACCTTTGCCTTAATGAGATTCCCTTTGACAAAGAAATAAATAGAAACTATCCAAAGTGCATTTCTGTTAAAATATAACATACATTTTGTGAAAATAGAAACAATTATGTGGTTGCAAAGACAGACACAGGAGCTGGTCTAGAGCTCTGTCCTGGGGCATCAGTTGAATGATCTGGATGTGGTACATGCACTCACAACAGATTTATTATTAAACTAGCAAGGCTTACAGAATCACTAACATCCTTTCAGATTTCAGACATTTCATCAGATGAAAGTAAATTAATGCAATCATCCCTTGGAAATCAAATTTCTGGACTACTGTTATGAATTTGTGACTAATAAACTGGTTTACAGATAGCGAAGACCATAAACAGGACTCAACACACACAGACCTCTCATACTTAATCTGTTATGAGCATGTGACAGGGGGCACAGATGCCAGCAGAGCACACACCCACTTCCAACAGACATACACGCATTCGCAGAGAAATGCATTCCCGCAATCACACCAACCTGTTTATGCAGTACGGCTGTAAGATATGCATGTTGCTCCTTTTGAAGGAATATCAGCAGGAGATGATGCAGCCCAGCAGCACCGTCTGCTGATCCAGCCTCCCAGGAAGTTACTGCACGTGTCCCACTCAGCCTGGTTCACATGAACACAAGCTGTGTTTGCAGACCTCAAATCCCCGACTATAAGCCTCCCACTGAACTCAGCAACGAGTTGATCCCAGACAAATGCAAAAGAACTGAGCTTGAGTTGCTGCAATCAACTGAAACAGACTTCACTAGTAGCTGTGTGCCTCAGACTGGCTGCTGGGACGAACGGCCACTCTGTTTATTTCCCTCCACCAGCCTGCCTCCCTCTTGCTCTCCCTTCTTTCTAGTTGCTCTCGTCCAGCCTCCCCTCCCTCCCTCCATGTCTGCACGGCATGGTGTAGTTCCTCCCCCCTAAGTGTCATGCTCTCTGTCATCACAACACAACTCGTCATGCCCAGATTTACCTTGTACAACCTCTCTCTGTCTCTTCCTGTCCTTGCTTTATTACTCACGTTACGCGTTTCTTCAGCGCAACTTTCCCTCTTCTCCCTCTCCGGCTCTGTCACCTGTCGTTCCTGCTGATATTTTTACATTTGACTCCTGTCACTTTTCTGGTGCATGACCTCTTTGCTAGCATCCTTCTACTTTGCCCTTTTTATTTCGTTCCCCAAGAGGAAAAAAAAAATAACTGTTGCCTCTCTGGATCCAAACTCACTTAAGCTTTAATGCTAACTTGATTACATAACAGCAGTCTGATGCAGTCTCCCTAGTAGAGCCAAGCGAAGTCTTATGAGGACACAGAGATGCTAGATATCTCATCAATTGAATTAGCCTTGTCTGTGATCTCTTTTTGCTCCTTGTGAAATCATAAGTTGTAGCTGGTTCAAATTTACCTGGGAGGGTGTAGCTGAATGATCCCAAGCAGGGTTCATCTGAGGCAGAAGAGCCAAACAACAAGCTCCACAACAAACCATAAATACATAAGTAACGCTTTCATTTGCTCATTATTTCTTCTTGCTGTTTTCCCAGTTTCACTTCCAGCAGCTTTAACATTAAAGGCCGACCATGAAAGAGAATGACTTATAAACTGACTTTGCCTTTCCAACTGATGGATTGCTTTGACTTTAGAGATGCAGAACTATAACTGACAGCATGCAAATTTATTTGTCAAACTTTTATTTAAATGAATATTCTGTTTCAAAATAAAATATTGTCATTTAATATCTTGCACGTTCATACAGGACCTTCTGACTCCACAGGTTACTGTACGTCCCACTTTAACCAATATCCACGACTCTGTCATTCTCAAAAACGCAAACTGCTTACATAATAATGACATGACTTTATTTGTTGTTCCGTTTTTTTCTTCTTCTTCTTCGAATTATGAACATAAAAACATACCATCAGATTCCGAATCACCATGCAGTACCATCTGGAGCCCATCTGATTGGCAACAGCTTCATTTTTCACCACAACAATGATCCCAAACACACTTTCAATGCAGTAAAAGCACACCTGGATAGTGCTCCAGTGCGTGTTTTTTTGCCCTCCATAGAGCCTGGAGCACAACATTATTCAAGCAGTGTGGAGAAAGGACCACGAAGGTGGCCAACATCCAGAGAAGAGCTTTGGATGCCTTTCTAGAAGCCTGTCGAACTTTTCCTGAAGAGTACTTAAAGAAAGCTGCCTAGGAGAGTTCCCGCTAATTTAAATAAAAATAATGATAAAGATGACTTTTCTTTTGGCTTCCACATGTTTCCATTTATGTTAGCTATTGTGACAATAAATCACAGGACCTGTTTTTATATGAGAGTGCAAAATGTGCACTCCTAGCATGTCGTCCGCAGTAAAGGCTAAACATATTAGACACATCTACGACTGATCAGCTCTGGTGCCTTTTATTGACAGCAGCAGTTAAACTTTAAAAAAAAAAAAAAAGCAACTAAGCATGAAGTTTTTATATGAATTGATGTCAACATTTTGATAATGCGCACAACAGCTTGCTTTGACATTTTAGTGTGGCAAAACTAGGTAATTACCATTAAACAAAACAAATCAGTGTTTGGCAAACGAGAATGCTGAAGTAATGATAGGTCCAGATAAGTCGGGGAGTCGGGGAAGTCGGGGACTACCAGAGTGATAACATTTATCCTGAGGGGATCATGTGTGTCTTCAATCAAATTTATTATGGTCTGCTTTAAGCTATTATTTTTCAAGACATTTCAAGCTTGCTGGTTTCACCAAAGGGAAATGTCAGGGAAATGTCAACCTCAAAGTGATAAGACTTAATATTCCGGAGAATGTAAATGCCAAATTTTCATGGCAATTCACCCAATAGTTGGAGAGAAGTATGAGAGATCAGGGTAAAAGCGGTCGACTGACTTGTAGATCTATAAAACCACATCACTAAAATTAAGAGGGAGATGTCCAACTCCAAGTGGAACTAATTGTGTTTTCTTGATTTACTATAAAGTAAATGGTGATTCTGGGTATGAGACAAGCAGAAACCTGTGGCCTGAAACATGAAGCCAATGGAGACAAAAACTGCACTGGCTAATAGAGTTTTTATAATGTTGAATTTTACACTGCTAAACAGCAGGTGCATACCCTAGTTTAGTCAGTGCTATAGCTAATTTCCAGCTTTTCGAATACTGTACGTTAGGTACAAGAAGTTCCTCTGAACTACACGTTTCCATCACGTCTGTCATGTTGCTGGTTTCTGGAGCAAATTTGAGAAAGAACGTGAGGAAATGTTCTCTCACTTGCATGAATGAAATTCTAGTATTTTATTTGTATGTTGCCTAACAAGCATATGTGTGTTTTTGCCTTGCACACATGCAGCCTATAGATGCATCTTGCTGGTCTGTAACTACAGTATGGTCTCTTTTTGTTTTTTGTTTTTTTTAAAACAGGCAACAAAATGTCAGGTTCCTTGTAAATGCTGGCAGTAATCTCAGTCATGCCGCAGTCTCCAAATCTTGTTTTTTCATTGAATGACTGTGGCTGTAAATAGACTGATGGACTGTTAAACAGACTAATACAACCACGGCTTGTATTCACAAAGCGTCCTTGTACTAAGATTAACTCCTCATGACGAAATTCTTAGAAAAGTCTTAGAATTATGACATTTGCTAGGAAGAGAGTTAAAACTAAATCCTGATAAAATAAATAAACCAATCAACACGGGTTATATCCAAAAATGTTAGCCCTTAGGACAGCTGATGAGGTGAAAAAACAAACTGTTTCACGAAGCTTAAGACTTGTTAAAAAGAGGGAGAAACAACGGCAACATAATTGTAGTCCTGATGTGGCACACTGAAATGAAAGGACATCACCTTCTTCCTCCTGGTGAGCAAACAGAATATTTGCTTATTCAGTTTGCAAAATCTAATAATGCAATTAATTCATCTTTTTCAGTTTAAGAAGATCCAATCATCACTAACCCATTCCCACCAGACAATCTGCACTTTGTGTTACCCTGAACAATAAAACAGCATCCAAAAACAACAAGGCGGTACACATAATACATGCTCTTTTAAATAAAATAACCACCAACAGAAAGGAGGGAATGCTGCAGAGCCACAAAACTACCAATGAAATTAAGTAGTTAATGCAATTTATGCATCAAATGGATTTGTTTGAGAGGAAAAAATACTAACCTATTAAACATTTATTATTAGCTTAACTAGAGTGGCAAGAGTGGATACGAGGACATCAGTGCTGGCACAGAGGGTACACTGTACTACACAGAGAAGTCCTTGATGTACACAACAGCAAAAACTCCCATGCGTTTCTTTACAAGGTGAGGAAGAAATGTCCATTAAGAATTGCAAAAGTCACTTCAGTTCAGGTAGCGTTATATTTGCTCCCCACTTTACTGTTCATCTTTCTTTCTCTCTTAAAAACAGTTCTTCAATGATTCTGCATTCAAATGATGCATAAAATGTAACTTTTATTGAATAGAATATTTCCATTTATGTCTGTCTATCTTGCATCGTGTCTTTTTGTCTGCCATTCCTCTCCTTTAGTTCCCCACCTCTGCTAACGTCTTTCTTTTTACTGACAATGTCACCCTTTTTGTTAGGCTCCAACAAACCACTGACAGTTTTAGCAACACCTCAAGGTAAATTCCACAGCGTCAGCTATCTGTCAGCTGCGTCGCTGACTTGAAGAGCTGGAAACAGCATTGAAAAGGTTTTTATAGAAAACTGTGGTGATACTTGTACATTTAGTTTACTGTTGACAGAGCAGTTGTTCAGTTTTATGTCTGACTCTGCTGTTAGACACACTAGGTAACCCGCCTGACGCAGGAATGTGTTGCTACAGTATGCATCTGCCCACACTGATAACTTTTTAAAAAGCCTTCATGGTGTCATTGTCTCTGCAGCATTAAAAAAATGATGCAGAGGTCTGACCTCTGTGACTGTGGAAGGGTCATACAGTTGCTTTCCTCTGGTGGTTACACAAAAAACACACACAGATAGAGGCAGTGTTATGTCACTATCAGTGCTGGGTACTCATGTTGCAGTGCTGGTGTCCTTCCTAATTATTTCCTACAGGACTGAAAACTGCCACACTAAGGACTACATATTTACTTGTATAAAATAAGGAAGCATAACTGAATCTTGAGATATAAAGTCTACTCTCCTTGTTGCTGTTCAGCTTGTAGCCTCATCTCAGTGATCACTGCTGCTGTGGTGTAGATCAACTGGTTGGTTTCGTGATGGCAGCAAGTAGGGATTGCCCATAATGCTCCATTCACACCTTCTAGTAGACCTTCAGAAGGTACTTCATGTAGTCACGGAGGGTCCAGGTTTCCAGCTTAGCCATGATCGTGATGGCATCAGCTCAAGGGTCGTCAGGTCCTGCGCAGACCAACTGTGTGAGGTGATGGAGCACCTCTTCAACCTGAGCCTGAGGCTGGGGAGAGTCCCACAGCTCTGTAAAAACCTCCTATGTTGTACCAGTGTCAAAGACCTCACGCCCCAAGGACCTCAACAGCTACAGGCCGGTGGCTCTGACATCCCACCTGATGAAGACCCTGGAGCAGCTGGTCCTGGCTCAGCTTCGGCACCTGGTGAGCTCATTGTTGGACCCACTTCAGTTTGCCTACCAGCCTGGCATTGGAGCGGATGATGCCGTCATTCACCTCCTACATCGTTCCCTCGCTCACCTGGAGACCGCTGGAAGCACTGTGAGAATCATGTTCTTTGATTTCTCCAGTGCCTTCAACACCATTCTTCCCATGGTCCTGAAGGACAAGCTGGAGAACTCAGGTGTGGACCATCACCTCACAACCTGGATTTTGGACTACCTCACCGACCAACCACAGTATGTGAGAACTCAGGGCTGTGTGTCGGACAGTGTCGTCTGCAGTACGGGGGCCCCACAGGGAACGGTTCTGGCTGCGTTCCTCTTCACCATCTACACTGCAGACTTCTCCCACAACTCCAACCAGTGCTTCCTGCATAAGTTCTCTGACGACTCTGCAATAGTCGGCCTCATCACTGATGGACACAACAAGGAGTACAGAGGACTGACCCAAGACTTTGTGGAGTGGTGCCAGCTGAACTACCTCCAGATCAACACTAGTAAAAGGACACTAGTAAACACTAGTAAAAGGAGCTGGTGGTAGACTTCCGCAGGCACAAGCATCCTCCACTGCAACCACTGAACATCCAAGGATGGACATCGAGGCTGTGGACAGCTACAGATACCTTGGTGTTCATCTGAACAATAAACTGGACTGGACTCATAATTCGTGTTCTCATACTTTGGTCAATTACTTTTCATAGTGTTATCAGTTCTGTCACTAGTTAGCTAACGTAAACTAATGTAAGTCTATAAGTCGCAACCAGCCAACCAACCGGTGACGTAATGTTCTGTACTGGCACAAGAAAGCGTTAAACATGTTCTTAAAACTTAAAGCTTAAACATTTATTTCTTAAACCCAGCTTCACAGACAGTATTACATTTATGTGAGTTAAGAGTAGGGCTCCATAATGTAAATTAGACTTTATACATGTAGAGTTTACTGACAGAGAAGGCTACACCTACGGCTTGGGTTGGGTGGAGCTGCTGCTACTGGCAGATTACAGTGCCAAAGCTGTCGCTAGATACGCCTGCCATAAAACTATTCTTATACCAAACATTTTTACTGAGAATGCCAAATCCAAAATTCCATCCAAGTAACTCAGAGGAACTCTTCAAAACCGTTGGTATCAAAGCATTTCAACAATAAAAAAGAGGCAGCAAAACTAAAACACTGGAAGCACGCTGGGACAAATCCTTTGCTGTCCAAAAGGAAAACGAAAGCAGATGAATGTGAAAAACAAAGGCAAGGCCATCTGGAATAATGTGCTCTAAATAGAAGAGACAAAGACTGTTGTTTGCCAGAGTAATAATAGACAGATTTGGTGTAGACAAAACCATCCCCTTTTAGAATAACCTCAAGAACCTCAACAATGAAACACCAGGGTGCATGTGTTTCTGAAAGAAATAGGACCAACTATCAGAACTTCAATGTCCAAGTGTTTACAGTCATGATTTTTCAATAAATAGCAGTGGAACAGTCAGATATTGTGTTGTTGTTTATGGAATTTTTTACAGAATCTATCAATTTAAATCTACAGTAGACAGGAAGGTAGGTGATGGGCAGCAGATTGATCTGAATAGATTGCACTGGTCAATCTCAATCACCTTCAAAACAATCCATAAGGAAATAGCTTATTTAAGCTCTCCTGGGGGAACTGTATCCCAGAGATCTGAAGAATCAATACCAAAGCTGTGGCCCAATCCGTCACTGAGACCTTTTCATGGTGGTTTCTCCTTTAATCTGTATATTTGATATAAATGGTGAAGACTTGAGAGTTCAAGGTCAATGTTTAAAGAACAACATGCAACTGTTTTTTCTGTTGTTTTTTTTAACATGTGAATTTCACTCTATTCAAGATGTGGACCAATAATCCTGTGGCAACAGTTGAATACTGTCTTCTGCGGCTCTGGTGGAACGTTCCCTAAAGACAAATGCTGAAGCGTGGAGGTTAAGAGAAGCGACTCTGTTGTAGAAGACAGCGAGTGAATGTTCTCCAGTTGTAGAGTGGACTGAAATGCTCAAGGCCTGAGTAAAGCTTGGATAACAAATTCACAGCTGTGTCTTCAGTTCCTGAGTGCAGATCTTATAACATGTTCTAAGTATTGTTAACACCCTGGAACTTCAAAGCGCTAATTTTCTCTTTCTGCCTCTGTCAATATAGGAATGCTCGTAATCCGGCACCACCTGCTAAGTCTTACTGATGTTAAGAGGGAGGTCATAGGGTGTCACTGCTGCGACATCTCTCTTTATGTTTGCCCTACAGGCTGTTGATCTGTCTTCTGTTCTTCACAGTGACGCTGCAGGCATGTGAGGCACAAGTACCTAAAAACCAAACTGCACAGTAGCTTTTAATACTTGATTTTGACACAGGATGTCATATGATAGATAACCTTCGTGCTAAAATTAAATTACAGGTAGGGCTGCCATGACTAGTCACGATTACTAGCAAAATTATTGACGACTAATTTAATAGTTGACGAGTTGTTTGAAGCTTTGTAAGATCCAGAAAGACGCAGGAATAGGTAGTAGGATTTAAGAGTGTAATAACGGACTGAAACAGAAGATGGCAGAAATGCATCTACAAGGATGCCAGCTGCCGTTAAACGCCAAAGAAGAAGAAGCAGCAATCTTAGGTATCGTAGCTGTGTCCAAATTCAGGGGCCGCATTCTTCGGAGGCCACATTGATAGGCCGATTACATGACAGCGACGCGACGAAGGCTGTCCACGTTTGAAGACTCCTCCAAATGCGTCCTCCTTCTTCCTAGATTTGAAGGATGGGTCAGGTGTATCCTTCGTGGCCCAATCTATCCCAGAATTCAATGGTTGATTCTGTTGCTTGTTTTAAACTCATTTATTTTAGTGTAAGAACAACTATTTTAAACAGCTGCGCACACATGCACTACAAAATTACAAAAAGCTCAATCTTTTACTAAAATATGAAGGAAGCTGTAAAGAGCCATGCAGTTTGATATAAACGTCAGGATAAAAAAAAAATACTCATCAATGAATAAAACAGGAAAAGAGCATTTTTCAAAGGAGAAATGTGAAACCAGAGATTCCACTGACTAAAAAGATACACAGGTAAAAGAGTAGAAAAGCTAAATCTAGTGCAGGCTTTCATGTCCAAAACAAGCTGCACAGAAATGTTCTTTAAGTCTGACTGCCTATAGCAATCGCAAGAGCACAGAGCAATGCCACCATCAGTGCTCTTTCCTAGCAATAGCACCCAGAGAACTGTGCTGTCTTTGGAGCTGAAAAATCTGAAGGACATGAGCTCCTCTCAGCAGAAATGATTCTCTTCATAACAGTGTGTCGTGATGATGTGCCTGCATTCAGCCATGATAAACTACAGCAAAAATACTGACACCAATTAAATATCATATGTAGAAATCCACCTTTTTACATTTTACACAAACAGGAACATCATGGTGGGAACCACAGGTGGACAAAAATGTTTTGCCAGTGACTCAATGAGACTCTTGGGATGTATCAGTACAGGTAAAATATTTAATGCACTCTGTTTTAATTTGTTCTGCTCTGGGTCTAATACACCAAAGACTGTTTAAAACAGATGCAGGTACCACTCTGAAATATAACTGTCTTTGAATCTCAGAGACTTTGGAGGTGGCAAACCTGGCAAAGGTTGAGCCTTTAAACACCTCTAAACAAAGCATGGTTTTAATGCTGTCATTCATCCTTTGTGCTGACGTTTCAAAGGCATTTCAAGTGGGGGAAGTGTAACACTGAATGAGCGGTGAGTCATCTCCAGTCAGTGTCAACCAACTCATTTCATACACTGGAGCTAATTTTTCCGCCATCATTGCCATTAGTTTTTTCTGCTTACAAATTCTCAATTCCTACATTGTTTTCTGAGTTGTGTGTGGAAAAAAAGACCAAACAAAACTATTTTATTATCTCTGCATTCCAAAGACTTCCACGTGTCTCAGCTATTCAAAGGCTCCACTGCCACTTTGACTTATAGGCAACAATAAACTAAAGTGAAAAACTTCAGGGAAATGACTGCAAAGGGTCAAAAAATTTGGAACCTGCCTTCACTGCAATTCCTGTTCCAATATGCACGGATATTGCATGTGTTACGATATCTCAGCATCCCAGACATCTTAAATCACTGCCTTCTATTCTTATTTTCAACTTTTACTCATAAATGATGAAAGCTGAACTGAAGTGGGCTCGATAAGGAGTTTAAAAGAATTTACTTTTGATATTGGAGTCAGAATCTATGAAATGCCAATCCACCCCCCCATCCAACTAGCTGAGAGCGATATGAAAGCACTGATCTCAGTTCTGCATTACAAACATACGAGGTTATTCTAAGCACAGAAGAAAAAAGAAAAGCACAGAAATTCTTGTAATCACACAAACTTCTGCATGCAAACTTCTTCAAACACACATCCAATCACTCAGTTGCAATTCTGCTTTGCAGACATTAGCTGAATTGCTCTGATAAAAGCTAACTGCCTGCTGAAACATTCAAAGGCTTTGCACTGCGGTTAATTTTGAGACATACACACACCAAATTCTATTTCAGCTCCCCGACTCCAGGCTATGCGAAGCCGTGTGTGTGTGAGCACTTGTATCAAGAACACGCCGTGACTCAGACAGCACAGAGGGGAGGGGTCAGGGCATGAGGCAGCACTCACAGGAACACGTGCGTGCCCAATGATACTCTGAGAATCACACGTGCGCATGCGCAAAAACAACACAAAGCGACAATCCCCTGTTGATGTCGCATACTGAGGCGTCCCAAACTGTCCTCTGCTTTCTGCGGCTCCATCTGCCCTCACTGCTCCTAATCCAGCTCTCTTCACTCCGCTTATCCCCACACAGACGCACACACGTGCGCTCGTACGAGGCATGCATGTAAACACACACACACACACGGCAACATGCATACATTATTCATACAGCTGGGTAGGTACATGGCACGTGCAACTTTTGAAAGTTAATCGGGGTTTTTTTCTGGCTCAGAGTGGCGAGGAACTCTGCATGGCAATAAGCAGGTTTATTTTGGGTTTTTTGGAGACCTGTGTGTTAATTTCTCACCATCTTTATGCTGTTTATGACAGTTGTCTTT